CTGTGTGGTTTAAGCACAAAAGGAAAAACAACAGTTTCCCCTTTTGTATCAGTTTGGGGAAGATGAAAAAACAAAAGCAACAAAGATGGGAATGTTTTCCTACATATTTAGACAAAGATCACTACTAAAAAAACAACTCTGCTCCCAGAGTTTTCTCTTTTGGTTCCCCCCCACGCCACAAAATTACAACGTGAACATTTCTGAGGGTATGAGCTGTTCTTTTTGCACGCTGGAAATAAACACGAGGGCTGGGGCGAAATGCTGCGTAGCTTTACAGCTGCATTTTATTTAGTTAGTTTTGTGTGTCGTTTTGTTTATTTTTATTTTTTGCATAAAGGAGTTGGTTTGATCCTAAACTATTGTCCGTCCCTCTGTCTGCTCAGCGCAACCACACACGCAGACTGTGTTGCCACTGATTGCCAGTTTAGAGTTGCACCAAAAGCTGTCCAGTCCTTTGGCTGACCCCCTGAAGATCCTGGTGTGTGTTTGTGTGATGTTTTGTGTGTGTTTGTGGTGCTCCACGCCATGTTTATGTTCATACGCTACGCTGAAAGCATGCGTCTTTATTTGGCTCTCTATGTGATTATCAACATCTGTATTCTTGTTCAAGGTGATTTCCATGCTTGGGAAAATTTCCTGAGGCAATCCTGGAAACATTTTATGGTTAAAATGATTCGACCCCAATTCCAAGAAGTTAAGACAGGGTAGCATACTGGGCCCATTGCTTTTCCTATTATACATAAATGACCTTCCAAAAATAATGAAGTATCCAAATATTTTAATGTATGCTGATGATACTGTTCTTTTTTGTCTGATTTCAATATTGAATATATTAATGGTCAGTTACAAGCAGATCTTCAGACATTTCATGGTTGGCTTCAAGATAATCTTTTGCCAATTAATGTTAAAAAAACTGTGTGCATGTAATTTTCCTCACCCAGGAGACATTTCAATATAACAAATCAACTCACTTTTTTAAACAAACCGCTTGATATTGTCACTACCTACAACTATCTTGGAATTACTTTGGATTCTCATTTTACTTATCGTGATCATGTACCACTAAGTTGAAACAGAAATTATACATTTATTCAAAAATTAGATCCAATCTGACATTTTC